AAATCATTCAAAAAGAATAATAACTCAAATCGTTCAACTTGAATGATAAAAAAAATCATTCAAGAAGAATGATGACCTGAATTGTTTGACTTAAATGATAAAAAAAATCATTCAAGAAGAATGATAACGAATTGTTCTTCTTGAATGATTTTTTTATTGTTCAAGTTAACTCAAGTTAATTCGAATCAAGTCGAGTTTAAATTGAGTTAAATTAAATATTTAACTCAACTTGAATTTGGCTTGACTCGCAAATCATCAAGTCAAAAACATAAACTCGACTGGATTTAAACTTGACTCAGCTTATCTGACTTGTGAGTTAACTTGACTTGTCTAGAACTTTAATATTAAACATGTTTAACATATTTAATATAGTTAATATATTTAATATATTAGATATGTCTAATATAATTAATATAGTTAATATATATAATATAATAGATATAAATATAAGCCTTTTTGTAAGTTATAAAAGACAAACTAACGGTTATATAGAAATCTCTTTCTCTTGTAAAAGTTAGTATAATGTTACTTTTCACTTGTGTATCCCTTATTTAATTTCTTTTCTTATTTTTCTTATATTTATTATTTTCTTATTTTCTTTCTTTATTCTTCAATAAAGTATTTCTTATTTATTTATTATAAAACTCTTTGTGTTATTACATAAACTTTAAATCTGTAATTAAAGCTACTTATGATTAGTAAATTTAACTCAAATTGATAAAGCTGATAGTAAGATAATTAAGATTTAGGCGAAACTGCTTAGAATTATATATAAACTATAAAAAAAGTCAACCCTCTGATATCATATTTAACAGTGTTAACTCTACGCTCAGCCCGTTGAACTTAGGGTAACTATGACTTAATAATAGGGAGTAATGTGTGAGAAACTACTAAGTTACTGTAGAATAAGTCCTATCACAATCAACCTTAGGTTTATACTTTTAGACAAGTAAATAACTTTAACAATTTATAAACACGATAAATATAATTGACATGTTGAAGGATTTTTAATATGTGTAGATTAGAAAGAGATTTTTTTATTGTAGAGATTTGTATCCTTAGCAATCCTTAACTTTGGATTCTAAGTCTTAAACTCAAACTATTGAGTTTACACTGTTATCTCTGTCCTTTTACAAGGACAAGTTTCTATTCTATTTATACAAAAATACAATTATAAGAATTTACTATCTAATGCTAAACTATTTTATAATGCTAAGATAAATATAAAAGATAAATTATAATTTAACGATAATACTAATATAATAAATAATAATAATAAAATATAAGAATAAAATAAATAAAATAAAAATGTTAACTAAGTTAAAAATGCTAATGATGTTAATAACGTTAATTATTCATCAATCTTTATGACGCAATAGGATTGACTTCATATAGTATCAGCGTTAAATTTAATATAAAATAATCATATGTTTACTATTTATTTATAATATATGTAGTGATTATATAGTTATTACCTAATCCTAATTTCCTAAGTTTCATCAAAATAAGGATTAAAAATATATAAAATTATAATTTTAGTATTTATAATTAATGAGTTATAAGCTTTAAACCTAAAAAATAATTATTTGCATTTTTTTTGATAATCATTGTATATTGTTTAAAATCCTTCACTTTCACCTATTTATTTTAATTCTTCTTTTTGCATAATCTTTAAATTACAGTAAAAGTAATATAGTAAAATAAAATACAAATTTAAAAAAATATAAAAGTCTTTATTTAATATTAAATTAAATTAAGATTGATCCTATACTTTCTAAAATCTATTTTTAACTTAAGCTAAAAATATCATTTTTTAGTAAATTAAAATGAAAAAGATTTAGTTACTTTAACATTAAAAATTTATCTAATAGAATTTAAGATAAACTAACTTGTTAATAAGATCATTAAAAGTTAAAGAAAGAGTAAAACAAACAAATTTGTAACTTAAAAAGTTTGTGTTATTCTTTCTAGATTAGATATTGATATTATAAACTTATTTAAAGATTAATTGTAAAGAATATTTATTTTTTAAATTGATTATATTTGAAAATATAAATTGCATAAATATAAATAAAATAGCAAGTATATGTTAAAAAAGAACTTATAGTATTATAAACAAATTGAAAAAAAATTAATTTATTTATAAATGTCAAAAATAAAGAATAATTATAATGTGTATTTATAGTAATTATATATGTATCACTTTTTATATATTATAATAAAATGAATTTTTATTATTTATAATAAATTAAATAAATATAAAATTATTCTATTATTTTAATTAATTAATTTTTTTTATTATATTTTATAATATTTTATTCAATATTTTATTTTATTTCTTATATTTTTATTAATTTTTTATTAAATAATCAAATAAAATTAATTTTTTTCAAAATTTTATAGAATACTTAAAGCAAAAAGTAAAATTATTAATTTTTTTTATTTTAATAAGTAATTTATTATTGTTTATTAATTATTTTAGATTTTTTTATTTTTTACAAATAAAATAAGTATTTTTAGTAATAAAATTTTTATTATTTTTGTTTAAAAGTGGATTTTTTTTATTTATATATAAATGTTAAGATTTTTTAAATATTTGAATAAAAAAAAATAATCATTGTATTTATATTTAATTAAATATAATTAAATTCTATATAATATTAAATATATTTACTAGATTTATATAAAAATAGTTTAAATAACTTCTAATAATTATATAAAATTTGATTTTTAATTCTAAAGTAAGTATAATATTATATTTAAAATAATATCTACTTTATTGTATTTTTTTAAAAAAAAACAAGTATTTTTATAACTATTTTTAATGCTTAAATTGATAAAATTAATATAAAAATAATTAATAGCAATTATACTTATATTAATTTTTTTTAATATTTTCTGACTTTCTATTATAAAGATCCTATATTATTTATAAATAATTAAATTTTATTTATAGATTTTTATTAAATTTTTTTATTTAAATTAGTTGTAAAGCAATGGGAGTAAATCACGTGACGCTACATACGTTACCAAAAATGAAACTTGTGTAATCTATTAACGTAACCCATTTCTTAAGAAGCATTTTTGGAAATTTGTGTAACGTTTTGCAATTAATCAAAAACGTGACTGTAAAAAAAAAAATACTAAAACGTAATGTATCCGCCGATCATCCTCTTTAAATTTAAGTGTCCAATTTTTTAAGTAAATGCCAAAAATTTATGAACTTTCAGATTTTGAGCATGGAGAGATTATTGGTCTTCTTATGGCCGGACATGGTGTAAGGAAGATTGCAAAAGTACTTGGACAACCAAGAATCATAGTTCAAGATGTAATTACAAAATACAAAGAAGAGAATCGTACTGACTCCGCTCCTCTATCTGGGTCAAAGAAAGAATAATATATCAGAATAGTAAACAATCTTTTGAAGAATTACAATCAATTCTTACCAATTCTTAGTAAGTAAAAGAAATGTTAATTGAAACTTGCATTAGGATATTGTGGGAAAAAATCCTTAGATACTGAAGCAAATTATTAAATGTTTCGGGGAGTTTTTTCATTTTCAACCAACATTAATAATAATTCATATTAACAGACTTCAAATCATACGAACCATTTACCTTACGTTAAACAGTCATTTAACATTTTATTATATCAAAAATTAAAATTTTAAATTTTTCAAAGTTGATTATGAAACTTATATATAAAATAATTGGACAATTCAATTCAATTATTTAAAAGATACTTTAGATTATATTTCATATAAAGATCGATATTATTATATGAACATATTCAACATTTTTCCCATCTTGGTTATATGAATCTTCAGAATTTTTTTATTTTTTGCTATTAAATTTTCTTTCACACTCAAAAAATAAATCGATCTCAAATAAAATTTAACTAGATTAGAGTTATCGATTTAGGTAATATCTAATCAATATATCATATCAAATGACCTATTTAAACAAAGAATTAAATTAGGAGGGGGAGAGAATTTTTAACGTTAAAAGGACAAATATAAAACATATCCATTAATAAAAGACTTACCATAATTTCATTCACATTTAACTAAAGCTATTAAATAAAATTTAATAAAATTATTCCATTACACGGGTCTAAAACGTGCGAAAATTTGCACAACCGCGTCTTTCGAAATGTTGTCTCTTAGGTAAAATAGTTTAAATCATCTTGACAGTAAATTTTTTTGTAATTCGCATTTTGCAATTTGATTTACTAAAGTGTGTTTTACAAACAACAATACTTATTATATATATTAAACATCAACAATAATTTCATAATTAGAATTTTTTTTCACCAATGAAAACAATATTATTATCCGCGTCCAACCGGATTTGTCTTACACGATCTTACCAATAAACAAGTCTTACTTAACCTTCGGATTTTTATATCAGATAGCTCGGCAATGTGACTATATTTTATACATCTGAAATCTTCGCTTTGAAAGAATCAAAACATCAAGACATGATGAAAGGGATAGTGCTCCGTAAGGGTCAGGTCGGGTCGGGTTTGAAGCATATTCGAACTCGAACCCGTTAATAATTACGGAACCTGAGATTTGACTCGACCTGATCATTGTCTGACTTGGATTCGACTCGTTCAACCCAGGTCAACCCGGGACCGACTCAAATTTCAAGGGTAATATTAACTCCGAAATAAAAAAGCGTTATATAAAGTTTATTTT